GCAACACCAAGGGCCGTACACGCCAAGCAGCGCGACACGGAATCCACCAAGACCAAGCTGACAGTGCGTACGATATATAGACATCTCGTTCACATCTAGTATTAACTCTCCTCGGTGCCCTGATGGCACATTATGTGACCCAAGACTCACGTTCACGCAACTCGTCAGGAAGCCCGAGGTAGTCTACCTCTGGAATCGTACTTTATACATACCGCCGTCGCCAACATCTACCCAACTTCCGTCTAGCATACTCATGGCTACCGAGCTCAACATTACCTTGACCTACCGCGGCAACAGCCACCCTCTCTCGCTGCTCCCAGACTCGACTCTCGCTTACCTGCACACTTGTCTCGAAGAGCTCACATCCGTGCCTGCTGCAAATCAGAAGTTACTTTACAAAGGCAAGATATCCGTGCCGGACGACGCCACGATCGTCGAGGCCGGCCTGAAGGATGGCGCGAAGGTGCAACTCATCGGGCCGACCGCGGAGGAACTAGAAGGATTACGAGCCACCGAGAGCGAGCATCAGCGGAAGGAGCGTATCCTGCGAGAGAGGGCGCAGCGGGCGCCGGTCAAGGTACGTTGGTGCGTGTGGCTTTCCATTTCCCCTTGACCTCACTCCTCGATCAGGTCCGATCCACGGGGAGTTCAACGGCTTCGGCCGATGCCCAATATGCGTTCCACCGGATTGAACCACTGCCCCACCTCCCGAACCCATCTTCTGCGCGTGACCTCTTCACACGCCTTGCGAACGATCCCGCTATTCGCCATGTTATGCGCAAGCATCAGTTCTCGGTCGGGGTGCTGACCGAGCTTGCGCCTCATGAACAACCTCATCTTCTCGGACTGAACGTGAACGCTGGACAGGCTATCAAATTACGCCTGCGCACGGACAGATACGATGGATTCCGTACCTACAGGGAAGTGCGGAGAGTGCTATGTCATGAGCTTACGCATAATGTTTGGGGCGATCATGACAATAACGTGGGTACCCCCTACCCGTCGATCTCTTGGCGAAGCGACTCATCTTCTGCCATAGTTCAAGGAGCTCAATTCGACGCTCAACAGGGAGGTTGCTGAGTTTGAACGCGCTACAGCAGCAGGCACCCATCACCTCACAACCCCCAATATGGAGTCTCCGCACTCCGCGCTCGAAGCCGAAGCGCAAGAACACGTTTTGGGAGGCTCTTACACACTTGGTGGCCCGATTCCCTCGGGTAGTTCAAGCGACACCCCAGAAGAGAGACGGAGGAAGGTGCTTGAAGCGACTATGAGTAGGTTGCGTAAGGAGGAGCAGGAGCTCGAAGATCGTTGTGGGACTGCAGGACATTGAATCTCTGCGGAATTGTGCGTTGCGGCTTCTCATGTGCTATGTCGCTGTAGTATACGCTGAATTATCGTGTCGCTATGTATAGTGTGTTTCTAGGGTCTACAAGAAGATCTGGATATGCTACACTTGGAGAATAATTAAGTGCCAGTGATACAGTGAGTGCCCGAACGTCTAACCTCCTCTGCAAGAATCCAATAAATAGGTAGCTCCGCATACTTTGACCCCACTCTAACCCGGCACTTTCGGAGTGCTCGCATATTCTCGCAAGCTTACGCGTGTGACGCGATATGCTCGTTGGCCTCCTCGTGGCTCTCCTTCGAAGCACCGTTCTCGAAGGACCCATCGAACTCAGCCGTCGACGGCTCTTCCGCCTCGGAAGTTGGGGGAAGGTTGAGGTGCGGCATCTCCGTAAACGAATGCTCGACGTGCTGCGGCTCGTCAAATTGGACATCGGTGCTCTGGAACAAGCTGCTCCGGCGCGCAACGCGAGCGGAAGGCTTCGGCTTCGTCAGGGTGGGCACGTCGTTGGTAGGCACGCGGAAGAGCCCGTGTCCGTGTCCAGCAGAATCTTCCTCGAATGGCGCCGGCGACATTCCGGCGATGCTCAGACCATGACCGTGGCCGGGAGTGTCAAGGACGTGAGGGGTATCGAGAGTGTGGCTGTGTCCCGGAGTATCGAGGGGCGTCTCGTCTTTGGTCACGTTCGCCGTGGGTACGCGGGACTCGGTGGCAGGGATGACGATATGGAGGCCGTGGGGGTGAGTGATGGAGTGGGACATGGCGTGAATAGGAAGGGGTTTGAGGTATTTGAAGGTTTAGGTGAGTACTCCGGATGGAAGCTCGAAAGCAAACTTGCTCTGGTGCGGATGGTGTTGGAGAGGTGCTATTCTCCGAATCGCTTTTATACGTCTATATACCCCTGTCGCTCACCGCTCTGAAGACAGATCCTGTCGAGCTCACAGCCAATATTTTCGTGCGAGCTTGCCCAACTCCTTGCGCTCATGGCACTGGGCAATGCGCCTCGTGCACGTCTGAAACCCGAACCATGATGGAACAGGAAACGCGCAATGACTACGGACAGCATACGAACAACCGATTCCATCCCGATTTCCATTCGCGCTCTTGATGCTCTCACAAACAATTATGCAAGAGGCAGGAAACTTTGGGCCTGGCGTTCCCGTGGGAGGCGCATCAGCGTAAAGGCGCGCCGTAGTGCCCCTCTCGGGGTCGCGACAAGATGCAAAACACCGCACTTGCGATGCGTGTATCAGACAACATGGCATGTCGCGATTCGCACTGCCTAATTGTCCGCGATCCTCTATCTCCGTTGGTTTCAAGCCTAGCCCGCGGCCTTGTCGCGCCCTCCCCTCCCACTCTCCCCGCTTCGGATAGGCGGACCGGCTTTGCGAGGCGCTTGTCTCTTCTGTGGACTGTCTGTGAACGGTAATCCTTGTTCTCCACATCCCCGTGTCAGCATCGCACGCATGGCCGCCGACGTTGTATGGTTGGCGACCGCGTCGCGGAACTCTCGGTGGGGCACCATGGAGAGTCTGCCAACAGCAACGTTTGCACCCCATCCGATGCTGACCGTCGTGACAGAGTCCCCATTCGCGAACTCAGACTGTGGTTGCTGGGACGCACCACCCTTCCTCAGTTTCCATCCACTGCTGCTATGCGACTCCCACAGGCCCTCGGTTGAGTCAAGCCTTACAAGATGGGACCGGTGAGTACGTACTCCGGGATGCGCGGGTGAACTAGGAGTTCTTCGGCGCTGATAGAAATGCAGAGTCTCTCTGATCTTCATCATCCCGATGGTTGCTTGCGATCCGCGCAAGTGCCCGCGGAGTCACGCTCAAAATCATTGTCAAGATGTTTCGACATGCCCGTATATACCGGCGTGATCAAAACCTCACCTTATGTGCGTCCGATGCTCTCGATGTGGATGTCCGGCCATACATCACATGCACAATTGCGCGCTCTCCGTTAGTATCGCCCTATGTGCAAGGCGTATGGGCGGTTTGTATCGCAACGATGTCTGGCGCTCATCTCTTCCATCCCGCGTACCATGAGCCGAAGGAAGGCCACGCGCCCCCCAAGCTGTGTAGGTCAAACCACAGGAGACGAAAGCTAACTAAAACAAATCGCGTCAGATTATCCCCTCATGGTTCCCCATCAACGTCGACCACCTCTCGTATCACGGCCGCTGACAGCGCCAATCCTACACAAGGATGGCTGCATGGAATCGCAAGTTCTAGCGCATTGCATCCTAGTCAAGCGATCAAGAAGCTCGACTTCGCGGCGATGTTGACCATTCCATTCCCTCCGTCTAAGCTTTTACGCCTGTCACCAGTCGCACGATGAGCTATCTGAGTACATCCCTACATCTTGTACTGGATCATCATGCGGTCTCGATGTGCTCGGACTGAGAAACAACGTATCTAGGTCACAGAGGACATCATATGAGAGCAAGACCGATGTCTCCTGTAGCGTTCATTGAACTCCAAAGACATCAGATGGTTAGCACCTTCATCGTTTCGTTGAACAGCATGTGGCGAGCACTCCATATGCGTTCATTCCATGCGCCCACCACTGCTGAGCAACTATCCAATTATTCTTGATGTCACCCGCTCAGGTTGAAACATGCCCCAAGGAAAAGACTCGTGTCCTCCACCTGAGGAGTGCAAGCGCTGTTAGGAGGGTGTACTTGAATGTATTGGGCATGAGCGGGCACCGCTCGTGTGTCGTTGTGAAATAAACACAGGTTCACGTAGTTCCAATTCGAATACGTTAGGCTTTCCTCTTGGTTCAGGAGGACCGTATGACTTCTCATAACATGGCATACTCCGGCCTGGGGCTGACCGCATCCTGCTCAACCACAGACATCCAGTATGATTGACAACGGCACACAACAATCGTCTTCCTTTCTCTCCTCTCACTTGTTACACTCTCGCTCTTCACAAAAGTCGCCACCGCTGCGAATACTTTCGTTGGTTACTATGCCGCTGGTCCCAGGCCTGCGGACCGTACTACGTTCCCCAAGTGGGTCTCCCGCACTGAGCGCACTACGATATGCCGCTCATGCATATTTGTTACTGAGGGTCCCCAGAGTGCGGAGATGAAGGTCACCAGGGTCTGGGTCGGTGCCGAGAAGGACTCGAACCTAGAAGGCTCGTTGTGAATCGTCACCGTCGTTCGTCGCGCACTACCGTCTCATCGGTTTCGTTTGCCGCCTAATAGGAGATTAATATTCATCCATACCCGGATCTGTAACGTAGAGACAAGTCTTGTTACGATTACACCGTGCACAAGCGCCTCGACGAGTTCATGATAGCCTATTCCTAGGTGAACAGAGCTGCTTCTTCTGTCGAGTCAACTATGGTGAACAGTGCTCACGCGCATTCATATATCACTAGCTGCTCCTTACGATGAAGTTTCAACAATTGCGACGTCCTGGATAGTGAGTACGGCGCCAGATAGCGAGACATTCCTGAGTCGCTTGACAAGCGGCTCCTGCACATCGAGCTACATTCACAAATCCCAAGGATCCGGAGTACGACTTGAAGCCAAGAACGAGGCAATGATCGGCAAGGTGGGCTTGTAGCATTCCTCTCGTTCTTCGGGTACTAAGTAGTCACGGCAAATTATACTGTACAAGGTCAGTATCAAATATGGCCGCCTGGCGTAATGGCAACGCGTCTGACTACGACTCGGTAATCAGGAGATTGCAGGTTCGACCCCTGCGGTGGTCATAGTTTTTTGTTACTCAAACCAACGCCCCATCAAGTACAGAGTTCAACATATTGATGGTGAGTGGTCGATGTATCGACACGTCGGGGATCATGGACGCTCACACCTTTGCGTTGAAAAGGGGGGATGATCGCACACATCGATCACTGTCCTAGGAACCAAGCTATTGTGACATTTGAAAATTGGACGGACTGCTGATGACTGTGCACAGCGGTTCTCAGTCTGACTCAGCCCTTGCGAACCCGACGAGTATTCGGGCGGGTGAGTGGGTCAACTCGTACGAATGCGCATGTCGGGCATTTTTTACCGAAACAGCTGTATTGAGTAAACTTTGTGACTGTTTGTATCGTGGACCTGATCGATGTCCAGTAATTGTGTACTTCTGAGATTGCCTTGAATGCGTTCGAACGTCGGGAGATGGGTCGAGCAGGGGCGTGCAGTTTGACTACGCTGGTGGGGAGAACGTGAGGTAGAAAGAAACACATGATCGGTCGTGCCGCTCTTCAAGCCTTCATGACGCGTCGTGGATCCGACTCGGGCGGCGATGGAGGATTTGCGCAGTACATAACATAAGTAGCTAGTGAGGCACAGGAGGCCGCAGTACGAAAGTTACATGAGGTAGATCACCGCGAAAATCGTGCAGCGCGATGATCCCTGAGGCCAAGGCCTGATGGTCTGCACACTAGTACTGGTTACCGACTCCCGCGGCTGAGTCGCAGAGTACAAGATGTCGTCGTCGAGGAGGCGGATGGTCACCGGTCACCCATTGTCCTCCTCTCTTTTTAAATCTTGGTTTTCGTCCGACTGGTTCTTGTTGTACCATACCACCCAACCGAAATGTCGTTCCTACAAGAGCAGTCCTTCCAGCTGAAGGGTCAGGCGAAGCTCCTCCAACACGCGCTGCGCCCGCCAAAGTCAAAGTTTACACCCGACCAGCTTCCCGACCTGTCGGGTCGCGTCATGTTCGTCACTGGTAGGTGTCGACTCCTATGGCCTCATTGAGCGCGGTGAGCTGAATGGGCTTGCATGTATGTGTAGGTGGGAACACTGGGATTGGCAAGGAGATCATCAAGGAGCTCCTGAAACACAACGCGAAGGTGTATATGGCCGCGCGGAGTCGCGACAAGGCGTTGAAAGCCATTGAGGAGCTGAAGGCGGAGACAGGCAAGGAGGCGCACCATATCCAGCTCGACCTCAGCAGCCTCGCGTCTGTGCGGAAAGCGGCGCAGGAGTTCCTGTCGAACGAGTCTGAGCTCCATACGCTCTTCAATAACGCGTGCGTCTTCCTTTGCTACCTGCAATCCCACCTTGCTACGGCCTGAAATGCTGACGGACTATCCGGAATCGGTCCAGAGGCGTGATGTGGTGCCCAGTCACGGACGTCACCGCGGACGGGTATGACATGCAATTCGGGACGAACGTCCTCGGCCATTTCCTTCTCACACAACTCCTCCTCCCCGCGCTCCTCAAGGGCAAAGAAACGTCCTCAGATCACCACGCGCGCATCGTCACGACCTCGTCCGGGTACGCGTACGTGGGACACATCGACTTCGATACGCTGAAGGACGGGCCCGCGCGCCGGAAGTTATCGTCAACGGCGCTGTACTGCCAGAGCAAGCTCGGGGACGTGCTCGTCTCGTTCGAGCTCGCGCGGCGGTATGGCGACCAGGGTATCGTCAGCGTCGCATTGAACCCGGGGCTCTTGAGGACGGAGCTGATGCGCCATGTCAACGTCGTCAGGCAGGCAGTCTTGGTATGTCTTCCTTTCGCGGTGGAGCTTGCTTAGACATGCTGACCGGGGGATGGGACATCCAGAACACGGTGATGTGGCCCGCGCACATGGGTGCGTGGACGCCGCTCTACGCCGGGGCATCCTCTGAGGGTGTCGAGTTGAATGGCAAGGTACGTACTATTTCGCACATCAGGCTCCAGGATCACCACTCAATATCACCATGTCATAGTGGTTGATCCCATGGGCTCGCGTGGAGGAGTTTTATAACCCTGAGGGGTATGACCGAGACCTTGCTCAACGGGTATGGGAATGGCTCGAACAGCAGGTCAACTGAGGGCGTTGAGGTCATAAGTAGACCTTACTGTACATAGAGCCCTTGGTTAGCGTGTTAGCGTAGACGACACGATGGAACGTACCCGTATCTCTTTGCCTATATCGCCATCCTTCACTCTGGCTGAATCCTGCAGCCTGTGCACGAATGCCCGCTGCCGCATCTGTTCCTTGCGTTTCATGTATAAGCAAGATCTGCGCCGTGTTGACCGGTAGACGAGTGATTAGAGAGGCACGCTAAGTTTTGTGGCGAAGTCGGTAGTTCAGAAGGCAAGGCAGGTGTGTCGTGTTATTGTAAGAAGCCAGGTGCAAGCGCTCCCATGTACAGCGAACGTCATCCCGGCGTTTGCCGGAGCCGATGGAGCTGCTTCTTGGACTCACACCTTCGACGACCAAGAAATGAAATGCGACTCGCTGGAACGGTACAGTGAGGCAGCATAATGTACCGTTACATCAATACAACCCAACCTGAACTGAGGTCCATCTGGGTGGACCTCCGGCGGGGATCATTCAACTGTATGTTGCAGATGACTTTCATCCTCGCATTTTTTATGCTCTGCAGTCTACTCCGCACAGGTTACTGTCAACATGATGTATGGTACCGTTTCTAATTATCGTCATTGCGGTCGTTGAACGCATGTATTTTGCTTACAATCGTTGACCTGTCCAGTTGTGACAAGTGTCAGCTCAACTACCCGGCAGTCACTACCACGTCCAGTGATATATATGGCCTTACAGTTGACTGCAACTTCGTGGTCAATACGTCTTGAATATAGCGTCTTTTCTTAATCATGCAGCTGATGTTTTGATCTATCTTTTTACATGACTTGCATGGATGTCTGGCCTACTGATGGTACAGGTATGCGCCAAGTGATCTACTACTCACACTAAGACAATGTCACAACATCCATAAGACCCAAAGTAGTCGGAACAGGTCGGTCTGAACATCTCAGGGCTGGCATTGCGACCAGCACCGCTACACGGACCCGCGAGTCATCTACTGTACCGGAGGTGGACCCATGTTTTTCTAATGACGTCGAGCGGAAGCTCTGCCCGCTGTCGCGGCTCGAGCAGCGGCTAGGTTGACTGCGCATTGTAGGGGGCGGCCTTCCGGCCCACAAATCCATTTTTTCTTCTGTCAGATACTGGACGGTAACGGGCTAACGAGATATCGATGTCAGCTTGCTTGTACACCATGCGCATACCTGGTCAGACGTACCATCAGGTTGCACCACTTCCCAGAGCAAGACACCGGGTACGCAGCACTCTGGAGCGAGACATCCCACAGGCGCGGCCGTGGAGGTTCCTTACGGACGACAGGAGGTCGATAGGACGGCGTGACGCGTTCGCGGTATATGTGCGTGAGCCGGAGGGCGATGAAGGTGAGGAGGACAAAGAGGGCGACGGAGATGACCGCAGGGAGGACGATGGTATTCCCAGTCTTATTGGAGTCGTCCGCGGAGTGTGAGACGTTTGTGGTGTTGGAACCTGACCCAGAGTGGTCGGACGTATCGTGGACGTCTACCTTGCGCGCCGCGAGCGCAGGTGGGTAGGGGCGTGACTGGAGTGTCGTTTAGGATCCAGGATTCACGAGGGGGGCCAGTAGAGCACATACCTCGTCGTGGGGCAGCATGATACGATCGTGATTATATACGATGAGCGGCATTTCATCAGGCAAGAGCGTCTTAGCTGGGGAACTTCCATCGTTTGGCGTGAGCGAGGTGTATGCGTAAGTGATTACGGACAGCGTGGCGAGCGTGACTGTGAAGGTTGCAAGGACGTGAATGCGACAGGGGAGCATGCACTTTGTAAGGGATGGGAGGGATGAAGGGCGAGGTGCGCCTGGCACCAACGGCATTCATATACGTACCGCGTCGCGTGAACATGCTGGAGGCGACTATAGGGCAGCTTCCGCAGGTATGACTCCGACCTGTCGATCGCGACATTCGAGGCTAGTTACGAGCTTATGACTCTGAGTCAGCGCCCCGAGTACAGTCGGATGCTCATAGGTAATGAACGCACAAGCATAGTACCGAGCTCGAGGGCGTCAATGTTCGTCCAGTGAGATGGCGAGGCTGTGACTCGAGCTTGCCGATCGTGGCGTCGTGGCGGGTCTTATCTTATAGCGGAGGCATCAGATCTGGTACTCTCCATATAATAATCAGGCAAGACCAGTGGTTCGTCGATGCGATTATCGCAATTGATTTTGAAGTTGCAGGTAAAGCAACTCGGACTTCAGAGAGAATAAGCGCTTCTCAGGGAACCTCGGTAGAAGAAAGCTTGAGTCGTTTTCGGAAAGTCGACATGATGCGATTCCGCCGTGCGACTAGCCTTGTTGCCTGAGGTTGGGACAAGAAGATTACGAGTTGTGGAGATAGCAAGTCTTTTTCACAGTGCTTTGGCATCAGGCGGAACAAGGGTAGGAGACAAGAGTGCGCAGATCTCTGCAGATCTGAAGTCCGGTAGATAAACGCTGAACACCTCGGACTTGAACCTTAAACCCGGGTGGCTGCGGAACCTCCGAGTGCTTCCAATGTTTTCAGTTGTATCATAATCCCATACAAGTCCACAAAAAGGTTTTTTGAAAGGTTTGCTTTATGCCGTAACAACTTATTATGAGATACACACCCACCGCTCGAGATCAGGAACACACCAATGCACTCTACGCTCGAATATGGATCGTCAAAATAATACAGTGTGTCTCTCAGGGGGTTGTGGGTTGTGGTACAATGAGTTACACTAAGCTGGTAAGTAGGAATTCATTCGCATTGACCTATGGGAGCTATGCTCTTCGCACGCTAGATGTCCTTCTTCGAAACTGTTCTCTCTAAACCTATGCTCGCACTCCTGTAGTGAGTATGTAACACTGGTCTATAGCCCAGAGGGAGTCTTTTGGAACCGTGACTTCCCAAATCAATGCCATCTCCTGTGTATTTGACA